AAAATGAAAACTGTATAGACTTACCCTGTTGTTAAAGAAATAAGTCACTAACATGCTTGAAAACCCACCATAAATTCCTACATGGTTTATAAATATGTTTTAGAATTGAAAATAGATATTTCATCAACATCTCCTCATTACTTCCATCTCTCAGACCCTGGTAATCACCATTATAGAAACCATCTGTTTCTATGAGGTTAGCCTTCTAGTGATACTGATCAAAGGAAGCAGACATTCGAATGTAAGAAGAATGGACAGTATAGTGTGTTATAGCCTAGCATGAGATAGCTACGTTAATTGGCTTGTTTGTGGGAATTATTTCATAGTGTGTATCAAATCATCACACTACGCACCTTTATATAACCTTTGTCAATCATACTTCAGTAAAGTTGGAGAAAAAACAACTAATTCTATACATCTGCATTTGATACTTTCCTGTTTAAACATGCAAGAGAGATGCTTCTTATATTAATTTACATAAAAATTGAATAATCTACCTTTCTAATTAAAAATGTTAACCTATTTTCTCTGTGTGAATGTGAAACTGGATTTTAAATGCTGGTCAGTTAAAGGTAAGAAGTTGCACTTAGATCCTTTCTCACAGTATTATCCCACTTTTTAGCTATTGGAAACTTGGATTTCATATTGGTAAACCTACAAATCCATCAAAATTTCAATTAAATTATAAAAGAAAGAGCTTGACTAGGACTGTGCCTCTAAATGCTTAAATAGAAATTTAAATTAATATTGATGAGGCTGGCGCTGTGGCTTAGCGGGTGAAGCCTCTGCCTGCAGTACTGACATCCTATATGGGTGCCAGTTCAAGACTCAACTGCTCCACTTCCAATCCAGCTCTCTACTATGGTCTGGGAAAGCAGCAGAAGATGGCCCAAGTCTTTGGGCCCCTGCACCCACGTGGGAGACCCGGAAGAAGCTCCTGGCTTCAGATCAGTCCAGGTTTCCCCCATAGGTGACAGGGACCCAGCTGTGTGGCCATCACTGCTGCCTCCCAGGTTCTGCAGTAGCAGGAAGTTGGAGTCAGGAGCTGGAGCCCAAAATTGAATCCAAACACCCCGATTAGGGATGCAGGCATCCTAACCACCGGGCTGAATGCCTGCTCCCTTTACTACATATTTAGTAAGTGCGTTTGATAAGCTAGCAACTATCACAGTGATTTTACTTTGCTTTGCTTGCAAATGGTTTCTGTATTCAAAATCTCAAGATCTATTATGGACAATGGATGAAACAAAATAAGCATATAATCACAAATTCTGATAAGTTTCACTGAGGAAGAAATGGAGCAAGAAAACAAAGCAGCTAAACCATCTGTATGGTAAGCAGGGATAAGCAGTTACTGCAAATGACTTTTAAGTTGATATCTTCTGGATAAGAAAGAGCCATCCATACCAGGGGCACAGAGAGAGCATTCTAAGCAGAGAAAATGGCAGATGGAATGGTCACAAGGCACAAACAGGTGTAGAGAAAAGAGGCAGGTAGTGTCTGCAGAGTTGCTGCCCACGACTGTAGATGGCTGACTGTGAATGAGAGCAAAGTGTGGTAGATTGCAAAATAGCTCCCCAAGCACAGAACGTATCTTCTTTCACTTGCTATGCCATGTGGCTTTTGCTTCCATTAATTTTTGGCTGGAATTTTTCTTTTTAAAAAAAAAAGACTTATTTATTTACTTGAAAGTCAGAGATACACAGAGAGAGGACAGAGTTACACAGAGAGAGGACAGGAGAGTAGAGGAGAGGGAGGGAAGGAGAGAGAGAGAGCGAGGTCTTCCATCAGATGGTTCACTCCCCAATTGGCCGCAACAACCGGTACTGTGCCGATCCAAAGCCAGGAGCCAGGAGCTTCTTCTGGGTCTCCCATGCGGGAAGGGGGCCCAAGAACTTGGGCCATCTTCTGCTGCTCTCCCCGGCCACAGCAGAGAGCTGGATGGAAAGTGGAGAAGCCGAGTCTCGAACTGGCGCTCATATGGGATGCTGGCACTTCAGGCCAGGGTGTTAACCTGCTGCACCAGAGTGCTGGCCTAGGAATTTTTCATACTTACCTTTCCCTCTGTGTATTATTACAGAGATTTAATAATCTTTAAAAAAAAAACATTGAATTTTCAATAAGTGAATGTAGTTACCTGGTGGTTGAGAAAATTAAAGTGCTGGGAAAATATCTTAGGAGCTAAGGCTCTCCTGGGCTGAGGTTGTATTTGGCTTTTCTTAGCCAAGAGTAGAGTTTGTCCTTTAAAGTATCAGTGTCTGAGAGGGAAGGCGGATCTGGTCAGATGGTGCCATCTTTGATCTGTAAGCCTCACAGATACCAAGCTATCTGCCCTCTTTCTTCCTCTCCCCATTTTCCCGTGGACATGGCTATTAAGCTCTTGGTTGATGCCTCCCGTTGCAGACTGTCCAGATGGTGATGGGATTCTGAAAAAGCTTCATGAGTCGAACTGACTGTGATTAAACAGTTTTAAGTAACATAAAGTAGTTGCCCTTGGAGCCTGGCAGGATTTGAAACATGGAATTTAATTCTGAGTTTTTAGAAGTTTTCCTGCCTTCTCTCAGCCTTCTTTTAAAAGAGTCTGATGATGCGAGTGCTGGTTGTTTAAGTCTTTATTTGTGTCATCCTGCCTGTGTGCTTAATCCCATCACTCATTCACTCAGCCATGTTCTTTCTTGGTGCCTACTCACATGATACAGAGAAGGGAACATTCTTGGACTTTGTTTCTGAAGCCTAGGGGCAGGTTGGAGACAATAAGGAAGGACACAAATACGGGTATAAACAGCACCTGTATTATGTCCTATGAGGAAAAGTAGAGGCTCCTGTGAGAAAGAATGGCTTTGAGATGTGCTTTTGATTGGGTTATCAGAAAAGGTATTTCTGTGATGGTGGTTGAAGTACAACTGAATGATAAGGAGTTTGGGCAGGGAGCAGAAGTGGGTAGCTCTCCACAGATGTTGCCTGTTTTTATTTTAAGAGGAAAATTATTTGTGCTACTAAGCCCTAGATGTCCACCATTCACAATATAAGATGGATGAAGGCCAAAAGAAAATCTGGCTTTGCCGAGTTACCCTCAGGATTGTGTGGGAAGGTGTACATTTGCCTTCGCCAAGTGTGGCAGAGAGAAACATAAAAAGAATGCAAAGTGCTTAATTTATTCAGTGTACAATTATTTTACTTAATATTTCCTTACCTTTCAGCTTTTTCAAAAAGATTTTTTAAAATTTTATTTGAAAGGCTGGATTACAGAAAGGGAGAGGGGGAAGAGAGAGAGATATCCAGCTTCTGTCTTCCATTCACGGGTTCACTCCCAAATGGCCACAAGGGCCAGGGCAGGGCTGGGCTAGGCCAAGCCCACACCAGGAGCCTGGACCTCCGTCTGGGTCTCCTACATGAGTGGCAGAGACCCAAGCATTTGGGCCATCTTTCATTGCTTTCCCAGGCACATCAGCAGGGAACTGGATTGGAAGTGAAGCTGCTGGGATCTAAACTGGCTGTCATATGGGATGGTCGTATTACCCTTAGCAGCTAAACCCTTTGTGCCACAAATTTAACCCTGTCTTTCAACCTCTAATGATAGCAATTTGAAGAATCCTTGGGTTATTGGAAGAAGTGAAAACACAGAGTCATATAATGCTGTTGGATGTTGCACTATGAAAAGAGCACATTACAGACAGGCCAAGAGAAGTTATAAAGAAGCACAGAAATGAAAGAATGAGATGGAAGGAGGGTGGGGGGTCATTTGTTGGCTATATGATGTTAAGGTCCTTACATCTTACTACGTTATAGTTATAATTCAGAGCTTATATGTGAAAATGGTGTCTGCACTGATGAGCTTTCAAAGTTTTCTCCATTTCATCCTATTTGGTTTAATTTTATTAAGCAGGATAAATTTGCTAACAATTAATATGGGAGCTTTGCTGTATTTCATTTGAATATACCGTGTCAGGCTGAGGGAAGTAGCTGGAAGTCACGTTTCCCGCGTTTCTAGAAGTTCTTTTTTCTATCTTTAAATCTTCTGAAAGTCACAGGAAATTATACCAGTTCCTTAAGTGTATCAGAAAAGTGTGAAAGGAAAGGGTAGATGTGGTTGATGTTTACCTATGCATTTAGAAATATCTTTTCTAAAATTGAAACAGGAAGTGAGTTTCCTTATATTATCTGTGTTAAAGGCTAAAAAATTCTAGATAGTATCAGTCTGAACTGAGAGCCATGTAGAAAACAGGATATCCAAGCTGTAGGATATTCTGACTTCAGGAAAGGGGAATAAAACAAAACAAAAAACAAGCCCAAGCAGAAGTGGTTCTTTACTCTTCCCAAATACTGTCAGAAAGATAATCTCTTTTAAGCCTATAAAGGAAATGGGTTATTATATTGTTGTGCTTTTGGTTTTCATATTGTAAACACTTCCAACAGCAATTGCCTTTCATATAATATTATTTCAAAATATTAATGTTTCAGTATATTTTGAATGATCAAAAATGGATGTTTATATTTGGATAAGGCTTTTTTTTTTGCTCATTTAATCAAAATTAGATAATTGCCTCTGTAAATCCAGTTGACAAAAATGTTGTGATTTTAGCCAAATATTGTTCATATCTCAAAGCAAAAATTAAGGTAGAATAGATGTGTAAGCTTCATGAGGAAGGAAAGCCTGCATAAGCATATTATCTTCATTAAAAGATTATCTTTATTTATGGAAATGGGTTGGTGTGCAGTGTACATATCATGTTGCCTTGCACTGAACCTTTACAAGAGTGTATGGCAAAATGGGTAGCAACGTCATTGTTTAAAATACCCTGGTCATCTGACAAGAAAGTGTCATTATGCAAACTTTTTCCTGTGTGTCATTGCCAAACTGTCCATTAACTTAAGGTATTGTTGTCTGTGTTATTTAATAGCAAATGGGAATGTTCTCAATGTGGCTACATAACAAATCCATTTGAAACTCAAGTCTATGGTACTTAAATGTAAAATAACAATTTCATCATATTTTATAGAAAACGCATGTTTCAGAAGAGATGGGTGAAATTTGATGGCCTTAGCATTTCTTACTACAATAATGAAAGGGTAAGTACATTTTTACAGTTTTCAAAGATTACTTTCTGCAAACTAAATGTACTTCACTACTGAGCCAGCAGTGTGATTTTCAAGAATAGGAGTTGGATTATCAACATGAAAAGAATTTGAATACAATAAAACATTCTTTTATAATTTAAGTCTGTCTTGAGGCATAAAGTTGAGATTTTTTTATTCACATTTCACTATTATTTATAGAGTATCTTCTGTAAACTCTAGGAACTGCTGTGAACAAGATAAAGATGAATAAGAAATGCTGTTATCCTAGAGAGCAGGGGGAATGTTTACACATGATATTGTAAGTGGGAAGGGGCAAAGCAAGGAGAGGACGCTTAGTACTCTAGGAATGGGAGGAGTTGGCAAGAGATTTAATTTGATAGAGGGCTTGAAGAAAGGGGCAATGTGCATAGGTAGAAACCAGAGAGAACAGGGAGGTGCCCACATGGGAGAGTGTGGCCATGTACAAGAATACTTCAGTTTGTGGAAAATGGAATTAAAAGATGTGCACTGGGGCAGCTGTGGAGCAGCATGTTAAGCACCCTCCTGGGAAGGCAGTGGATGATGGCTGAGGTGCTTGCAGTCTTGCTACATGTACACATGAGTGACCCAGATGGTGTTCTTGTCTCCTGGCTTCGGCCTGGCCCAGTCCTGGTTGTTATATGCATTCGAAGAGTGAACCAGAAGATGGAAGATTAATCTCTCTCTGTCCCTCCTCCTCCCCCCCTTGGTATCACTCTGCCTTTCAAAATATAAAAATAAATAAATGTTTACCAAAATATGTTTATTTTGGTGTAAAACATTTTGAAGTACCTACACATGAGGAGCCTTCAGGAAGTTCATGAAAAATGTGTATTGTGAACAAAAACTGTGCATGGATTTCAAATATATTGTGCCAAATTACTTTTTAATTTCTCTTTTCCTAGGACCTTTTGAAACCCTCATATGGTACATTTGACTACACAGTTTTTTTTTTTTTTCTAGTTGCAGACTAGATGAGAAGGAGACTTGTAGAGATTAAGCTAATAAGGTTGCTTTGAAAATACTGTTATGTGAAAATGGCTACAATAATAAAGACATTTCAGAAAGTTCATGGGAATTGGAATTAAATGTTTTAGTGACAGATAAATTAAAATTTAAAGTCCACATATAGTTATTTTGGAATACACCACACTCCGAGTATTAGGAAAAGGATAGTCTGTGTCTCAAAAAAACATCATTTTAATAAGTTTTCCATGAAGTTTTTGAAGTCACCTCATTGTCTGTTCTTGAGCAAACTGAGTGTGGGGAGCAATCCGGACTAGACTAAGTTACTCGAATTAAGACTTATTCTATGCATCTGCTCTCCTCTGTGGGGAGCAGCTCGGACTAGACTGTTACTGGAATTAAGACTTATTCTATGCATCTGCTCTCCCACAACATGGCGTTGGGAGAGAAGTAAACAGCTTCCGCACAGCTGCCTCCAGTTCAACTAATAAACTGTAGGACTTGCTCCTGATTGGAGAGCAGCGTACTCGGCGTGTGGGCAGCCGAGTTGGGATTGGCGGAGGAGGACTATAAAGGAGGAGAGAGACGGCATGCACCAGGAACATCTATGGGGAACATCTAAGGGAACCCGTGCAGCCCCCGAGAAGAGCCGGCCGGCGGTGTGCCGCTCCCCTGCGGAAGTGGGGAAAGCGGCCAGGGGGAACCGCCCTTCCACGGAGGTGGAAGGGATAGTAGCCAACCCGGGAAGAACCAGCAGCAAACCCGGGGAAGGCCGAGCAGACAGAAAGAACAGCGCAGGGTCCTGTGTTGCTCCTCCACGAAGAGGGGGAGCGACATAATGGTGCCGTGACTCGGATAGGAAACCTAGCTCGGATAGGAAACTTAGGACGGATATGAAACTTAGGAGGGAAGAAACGGGAAGAACTGGGAAATTACCGGAGAGAGAGACTAGCAAACAGCCTAGGGAAAAGCCGGACGAAAAGGGTGCCGGAAGAAGCTATTGAAAGCCTAGGCATAGACTCGGATACGGACTACGGGGGGAAGCTGGGAGAAATCTCTAAGGGCGAAAGCGAAAGTGAAAGCTAGAACAAACAGACTCGGACGCGGACTGTGGGGAGAGGCCAGGAGAAATGAGGGAGGAATATTGTTGGAGGAAAGCTTGGGGAAACATACCGGGTAGAGAAAAGTGTTAGGGAAATTGAAGCCGCGGGGGGGCAGGCTGAGGCGGATACGAAAGCCACTTTGGGATTCTCAAGTTAGCCCGGGAATAGGGGGCGAAAAGTTGAAACCAGAAGCTGAGACGTAAGCCAGATTGGGATCCGTCTGATTAGCCCGGGGAGCAAAGGACGGGAAGCCAAATCGTGGGGCGGAGACGTACGCTGGGTTGAATTCGCCAGGCTAGCCCGGGGAACTTGGATTGAATGCTAGTGGTGGAGACGCAAGCTACGCTGTGTTACTCGCGGAAGCCGCCGCGTGCAGAGAGAGCACGGGGCGTGAATAGATAGGGAACGCTGGCGTAGGCCGTGGTTTAGACGCGAAAGGGTTAAGCGTGGAGACCGCGGAGCGCGCGAAGCCGAGCTGCGCAAAGCCGGGAAGCTGCGCAGATGAGAGAGGCGCGCGGGCTGAAGCGGCGCAGAGCCGGGAACCCGCCGGCGGGGCGAGGTGCCGGGAAGCTGCGGGGATAAGAGAAACAGAAGTTTTAGAAGTAAAGTGAGAGAAATAGGAATGCTGGAAGATAGAAGTAAAATGGGAGAAATAGGAATGCCCGGAGATAGAGAAATAGAGAGAAATAAGGCCTCCCCTCAACATGCCAATTAGAAGGCTTGGATTCGGTCTGCCCGATTAGTGAGGCGATGAGCACCTGGGCGGCTAGCCGCAGGTCACCGAAGACAGGCACGAATTAACATCAGTAAAGCTTCCCCACAATGCAACAATTAGGAGGCTTGGATTCGGTCTGCCTGATTTAAGGCGGTAAGCGCCAGCAAAGCTCGACCAGAGTATGAGCTGCAGGTCACCGAAGATAGGCACGAACCAACACTAATAAGTCTGATAGGACTTGTAAGAGCCTGTGGCAACTCTAGCAAGTAGAGCAGAGTATGTGCCGTGGGACACCGAAGACAGGCGCGTATCAACGCTAAAAAATAAAAAGAAAGGGGGATCTGTGGGGAGCAATCCGGACTAGACTAAGTTACTCGAATTAAGACTTATTCTATGCATCTGCTCTCCTCTGTGGGGAGCAGCTCGGACTAGACTGTTACTGGAATTAAGACTTATTCTATGCATCTGCTCTCCCACAACATGGCGTTGGGAGAGAAGTAAACAGCTTCCGCACAGCTGCCTCCAGTTCAACTAATAAACTGTAGGACTTGCTCCTGATTGGAGAGCAGCGTACTCGGCGTGTGGGCAGCCGAGTTGGGATTGGCGGAGGAGGACTATAAAGGAGGAGAGAGACGGCATGCACCAGGAACATCTATGGGGAACATCTAAGGGAACCCGTGCAGCCCCCGAGAGAGCCGGCCGGCGGTGTGCCGCTCCCCTGCGGAAGTGGGGAAAGCGGCCAGGGGGAACCGCCCTTCCACGGAGGTGGAAGGGATAGTAGCCAACCCGGGAAGAACCAGCAGCAAACCCGGGGAAGGCCGAGCAGACAGAAAGAACAGCGCAGGGTCCTGTGTTGCTCCTCCACGAAGAGGGGGAGCGACACTGAGTTCTCAGCATGTCTTAATAGGTGTGAGAATGTCTTTATTCATAGGAGATGTAGGTTGAAATATTTAGGGATCTAGTATCTTTTTGTGAATGTTTTTCAAATACTATGGTTCTCCATATTGATCTCTGCAAACATATACATTAGCACACATACAGAGTTAGATAAATCCAATTCTGAAGATGGAATAATTTGTCAAATGAAGCTGGAGGTTATAGGGTTATTTGTTGTACTGTGCTCTTAACTTCTCTGTGGTTGAACCTGTCCTTAATAAAAAGTTAGAACTAGTAAATATGCCACATATTTAGGTTAGTAAATCAGGTATTTTTTTTTATTAACTATAGACTTTGTCTTAATATACTAATTTTTTAAGACTTAACCAATTCCTTTAATTTATAGCTTATAACCTAACCTTATTTCTTTATGATTTAGAGATCCCCTGTGCCAAATTATGTGATGTTGTGACTTGGGTAGACCTGTAGACTGCTGCTTCAGTGCTGCAGGGCAGAAAAGCGTATGCTTTCAGAGAGGACAGAGCACAGACTGTGTGCTATGCTGCTGAGAACAGTAGGTTGAGAGAAGTGTTAATTGTTTGGTTTCACTTTGCAGAGATCTAGATAAAGCATCAAATTGGTTTAAGCACACCGCTTTGAGGTTTCCAAGATGATGAGATGAATACTTCTTAAAAGCTGTCCTTCTCCCTTAGCAAGTGTTTCTAGTTCCTTTGTTCATTTGAATGTAGAGTGTGACTGCCTAGGGTGAGCACAGTGTGGTCTCCATATTGGATGGAATCTGACAGCTGATTGTTTTCAGTGTCCTTTCCTAGTTTGAGTGAAAGAGGGGAAACAGACCACTCAGGGGTGTGACAGGTTTCCATTGCCACGGGGCTCTGGTGGTGGTGGCATCCTTATTCCCGTTGGATAATTTCTAGTAACTGTGCACAAATGGGTTGTGTTCTGTTCTGTTCTTTTTATCCTTAAAAGCTCATCTCAGCTGCTGTGCAGAGATGAGGCCTATTCAGTTTTGAGATACTGGTGCAGGCTTGATTGGAAATCAAGATAGAAAGTCCATATTAAAATGAGTTATAATTTATTTAACTTAATATCAAATATTTTTAAAAGTTCTGAATTTTAAATTGCTGCTTCCTAAAGCATTTCGTCCCTGTGTTGTCCAGATGATTGGTTACATCTCAGTAAAAAAACAAAAGCACCGCTGTGAGGGTTTCCTAAAAGGATACAGTTTTTGTTTTGACCCTTATGATGAAAGAGATGGATAGCTGCTGCCATAGCTACTATCTTGGTAAGCA